TTTTTTTTATTTACTCGACTGTCTGGCGTCACTGACTTGAGAAGACAAGAAAAAAGAGATTGTGTCAATGTGCATTGGTAGTCGATAGACATTGTGTCAGCCGATAACGAAAATAATGTCTGTATATTTAATGGCATTTGCGACACATATGTTTGTTCACTATTAATGCTTATTATATACAGGTCATGAGACATCAAATGCAATATGACATTAACCAGATGATAAACATAATATTTTTAAATTAATAACAATAATGCTTTTGGTAATTAGCTTGAAAGATATTGGACATGTTATGAATAGAAATAAAATATTTGATCGAATTTTGGATTAATATAAGTGACATTCAATCGACATGAAGTGTATTGATAACAAGACAGATTTTATTGAATAACTGCTCTTTTTTCTGTCTCCATTGTTATCTTTTTTCTTTTATTGAAAGATCTGCATAAAAATATCATCGATGAAAAAGTAATACCCACGACAATTTATTATTAAACAGGATTAATATTTTCTCATAATGATATTCATTATTATGAGAAGTATTCTTACCCTTTAAGGTAAAAAAAAAAAGTTGACTATTAGAACGTTAGTAGTTTAAGATAACATAAATCATCAGTTCAGTTTCAGAGATGTAGATATATTCATTAATTTAACTAATTTTTCAAGGTCAAAATAAATTGATATGAAAATATGATTGATGATGAATCAAATCTGTTAGAATTCTTTTTATATTACAATTTATGAAATATAGTAGAAGATATTATTATCATGGGTATATATATTTTGTCATTCTTCATCTGAATAAAAGACAATGATCATTATATACAACACAATAGATAAATAGCAAATAACAAATTACACTCTATCAATAAGTAATAATGGCATATAGATTAAGAAAAAGAATCTGTTTTTTCTTGTCAGAAAAAATACAATAGTCTCGAAAATATTCATTTTGATATTTTTTTGTCTTTCATTTCTCATCAATTGTATATTTGAATCAATTCTTATCATTTGATGATTTGACATATAAACATACAGACATATTCTAACGAGATCTATCGCATTAGATTATCTCATCATCATCATCGTTTCATGGCGTAATCCAGACAGTGCGATGTTGTGTATTATTGTGATGTGCACAATCCAACTGTTCAATCAACACAATGGTCACTTTTTCTTTTTTTGTCTATGCGTTTGTCTGTCTGCTTGTATCTATTGATTGTTAACTGATGAGAGAGTAACAGGGAGAAAGCATGTGTTAGAAGTCTTGTACACGTTCTATGCGATAACATTTTGCTGATCGATGAACGTAATCTCTTTCTATCTGTCTGTCTATCTAAAGAGCGTTCATGTAAAGCAAGCTCATATTGTACACATACACACAAACATGATTAAAGGTTACATTACTAGGCGCGACAGCGTCATCGTGTGAACAAATCACTTTATTCATAACAAAGACACATATGTACACTGATGAAAACATGATATTGGGTAGTGACCGCTCTCGTTTGTGCTTGATTCAGACAGACACAAATACACGGGGGCAAGGTCCGGTCAAATACGACGACGTAAGCGAGAGAATAATTATTTTCTCTTATACTTTATTTGAAGACGATGAGTTACGTGCTGTGGCAGATGGTCAATGTCCATGGGCGTTGAATATATATGAGAGAATGAAAGAAAACCGGAGACGATGATGACGCGTCTCTCTGACCGCACGCCATCGACGGCAGCAAATTGAATTAGCGATTATGTGTCTGTCTAGCTGTCTGGCTCGAGCGAGCGACGAATGAACGAAAGAAAGAGTTCAGTTGGTCAAGTGGTCTCGCGTTGTATGTCCAGACAAGATTACGTCTTTCTCTCTCAACACTCGACGACAGAGCAGCGAAGAACAAGAAATTCTTTTTTTTCTCCTATTCTTTTTCACCATCGTTTTCTTCTTTTTTTTTTATTATAAGTATATGTATGCTCATGTGCAGACAGAGTCCATCAGCTGACCTTGAACGATGACGACTACTTTCTCGTTCTCTACTTTGCTAGTCTTTATATGTTTTTTTGTGTTCAACGACAAGTAAGAAAAAAAAAGGAGAAAGAATAGTATCTATTAGAAAAGAAAGAGAGAGAATGATCAGTTATTGTTAGTTGATGGTCAATCAACAGACGACAAACACTACGCAATAGTAATTTCTGTAGTATTTTGGTCAGACGCAAGTCTTTTCTTATTTATTCGTAAACTATATATATATATATGCATATGTAATGAGTTTACTAAATTTTTTAATTCTATTTATCATACATTTGATAACAGTTCGGCTACTTATGGATACGACAAATATAGGTGAGCTGAGTGAGATAGTCTATTAATAAGATTTTCGTTTTTAAGTATATAGAAAAGGTTTTTTTTCGATTAGAAACATTAGTATTGATAAGTTATCTTTTTTCTATACGTGTGTTCACTTTACGTATTTTGATGGTTATGATGTCACTGTCGTCATCATTAGTATTGCATGTTTTACAAAAAACGAGTTAGACATTGATGTTCATGCATGTGCGTCCAAAAGTCAGAGACATTTACTATCTGAGTGTCTGCTTGTCTGTCTGTTCAATCACATACCCAGGGGGCTAGACAATATGTATATGTGTGCTGTAATAGTCTAGCTGTCCTTTAGTAAGACGAGACGAGAGGAAAGAAAGAAAGAGAAAAAAAGAGAATGAACAAACAGACGAATGACTGGCTAGCCAGTTCAGGCAAGCCAACCGTTTGAACAGTATAGCATAAGTCATAATTGCTGTTCTATTAAACACATCAATTGCTGAGTGTGTATGTCTGGCGCTCTTGTCTGGGTCAGTTCCATTTGAACTATTCATTCACCTTGGTCTTTCTCTTTATATACCATATATATGCATTACGCATGCATATGAACTACATTTGCTTTCTATTATTCTTTGTTTGAAAGAGTGGCACACATATATATATATATATATATAAACTTATTACAATTGCTATACGTCAACACTGACGACAGGTCAACCTCGATTTCACCCTTCTTCGATTTTCGGTAGTGATGATATTAGTAGTTTACGTCACATGTAAATGCGACGCCGTCATTGTCGTACCACGCTGAAGAATTGCGCAATAAACTCTTCCGTTTGCTCTTTCTCTCCCTTCTTATACACAAGTCTTCCTTGAACGAAAGTACTGACCGTGTATATAAACGTATATTAGGTAAGATGCTCGTCCGAAATAAGTACAAAGTCAGGCAATGCACATAAAATGACATTGAATAATAGTAAAAGCGAGGCGAAGATGAGCAAATTTTTTTACTGTACTCTTTTTGTTTGATGCATGCCGTGTCCCTCGCCTCAAGCCTGTCGTAATCGTTGATATTCGATTGATTGTGAGTCGAATGTGTGAGGAAAGTGTAGTAAAGTAATGAAATTCAATAATTTTAAAGATGCGAGTATATATATGCATATACATTCATCATTCAACCTTGACCTCGATCATGTAAAACTCGTTTTTCTTTGCTTTTATCCAGAAAAGAAAATGGTTTTTTTCATATTCAATCTTGATAACCTTCGAGGTAACATGTTAATAAAACTCTATTTTGCTTCCGATCCTTTTAATTTAAATATGGCTTAACTTTTTTTTCTTCTTCTTCTTCTTTTTATAGATGCATGAACTATTTATTTATAAGTTAATTGTTTACTGCTTTTTAATTTATATAGGAAAAACATATGATTATTTATATAGAGGTTTTTTCTAAAAAAGGAAGAGAAAAAGAAGAAAAAAAAAGAAGGAAGAGATGTTAGCGAGAATTGTAATATGACTAAAACACCAAAACATTCGCATCATGACATTAATTATGCATGTGCAGAATCGGGCTGCTAGAAGCTGCGTCTCACCTGACATTTTCAAAATAGTTTTTTATCCTGTCTTTTTTTCTTCTTTCTGTTGATAAAATGAGTAAGCAAAATATATACCGAAGATTTTTACTTCTTTTTTCGTATTGTTTTTTTCAGAATATAAAATAAGAACAGAATATGCGCATAAATAAGTATTTATGTGTTCGTTTTCTATTTTCTTCAACTCGACTATTAGATGTGTTACAGTATACATTTTAATGATGACGCATAAAAATAACAAAAACAATATCATCATTGCTAGTGTCTCGCATGTTAACAAAAGCATGCGAGCAGCCTTTTGACATATAATTCAAGGTCGTCCCTCATTTTCTTTACGTAGCCAGTAATATATGTTTCTACATGGCCTTGAAAAAAAACGAGAAAAGAGAAAGAAAGAAGAGAATGAAAGAGTCGAACGAACATCGATTCGAAACAAGTAGAAAAATAAAACATAATAGAAGGCAAAGGTTTCTTGAGGGTGAAGATAATTTTTTGTTGTTATTCTGAGTAGATGTTTACTTTCTACCGAGGAATTATTATTAATCAATACTTTTCTTTATATTTAGTAACATGAATATCATTTACAAGGTTTACTTATTTTAATTTTTGAGATAAATTTATTATTGATTCAACGAATTTAAAAATAATGAAAGATAGAGAGATCAAGAAACAGACTAGTAACAACAGATGTATCCGTACAACCGCTTCCGTAGTTGTATTAAATTACGTCTCACATTCTATTCTTCTTTTTCCGTTCAACATTCTCGTTCTCATCGTAGTAATTTGTATGCTCACATTTATTATTGCGTAGCGATGATGGCTAGACAGGAATTAAAGCATCACAAATAATAAAAAAAAAAAAAAAAAAAGAAAAGAAGAGTGGACAATACGATCGTCGCCGCCGTATGTGTACAGATCGGATGAACGAGGAGCATAGTGAGACGACAACAACAACAACATTGTCGTTCATAATCGATTGCATAATATATCCTCTCTCTCTCTCTTTCTTTTCTTCTCTCTTTCTTTTATAATTCTAGACCGATAAGGTCACTTTTTTTTCTTCGTGGACTGTTTGACAAGTCCACTTATCATCCATGATTCCCGCTACTGCTGTACCATCACATCCAATAAACACACTGGATCGAATTGCATTTTATAAAAGTGTTCGCGAAAAGCGCAAACAACTTCAACTGAATCATCATACTAATGGTAAGTGTGAGTCATTTGTCAGATGATATTTAAATGGGTCTTTTTCTTTTTTCGAATCGTTTTTTATTCACAGGAAAAGATAATGTTAATTCATCGACAGAGAATGCTTTTCTCACTCAAATGCTTCAATCATCTTCAAATTCTACAACACCAACATCTATTTCATCATCATTAAGTATCCCAACACTTTTACGTAAAGGTGATTTTTCATCATCTCATCGAACTGTTACAAGTACTCTTACAAATATTTTACCAGCTCTTCTTAATGGTACATTGCAATCACCACGTGCTATATCACCATCAGGAACAACAACAAATATAGCTAATTTAAATTCTCCAACAAGTACAAATACAACAGATACTCTAGTTGACATTAAATGTTCAACATCATTACCTGTTTCACCTGCTGCTAATATATATAATAATAATCTATTAGAATCATCAAATGATAATATTATTGTACCAACAAATTATTCACCACCTCGTTGTCGTTCATATCCAATGACTGTTCTTAGCAAACGAACATCACCTTCTACATCTAATGTTCCATCAACACAAGCAACAACTGTAGTACAATCAATTGCTACATCTACATCTTATTTATTAGCTACAGCTTCATCATGTCCTTCACTTACAAATTCAACAATGGCAACAATAAATTCATCGACATCTCCATCACCGGATGATACAGTGCCAAAAATAGTTCGATCAGCCTCAGTTAAATCATGTGCATCCGATTCAGGTGTTTCATCATCCAGTCCATTGTCAGATAATAATATTGTTCATGTAAATATTTCTTTTTTTCTTTTAGAGCTTATGATTAGGTGTTTGTTTGTTTTTTATTATATTAAAAAAATTTTTTTTTGTAGGTATTTCGAACAAATCATATAGAAACAATCAATCAACCACAAGTGTCAACTGGAGGTCGAAAACGTAAATCACTTGCTCATTTTTATGATGAACTTAGTAAAGATAAAAAGTTTTCAACGGAAGCTACAGTTTCATCAGGTTTTGCTGTGCCAACAACAACGACAACAACAACAGCAACAGCAACAACAATAAATAATAATAATAATAATAATAATAATAATAATAACATTCCATATAGTCAACAAGAAGCTATTGCTATTGGCTACGCTCAATATGCTCTTATGCATAGTCTTACACAACAATTTCGTGTCAATTATCCAGCTGCATTTTTACATGCAGCTGCAGCATCGGGTTATTTACCAATACCACCGCCTATGATGGCTGCTGCTGTAGCTGCAGCAGCTTCAGCAAATTCAAATACAAATGGAAATAATTCATTAACAACAGAAAAATTTCGTGAACGTCGAAAACAACAACAGCAACAACCTGAAAGTGATAATAATAATAATCATATTCGATCAATATCATCTGTTAATGATCAACCATATCGACGTGAAACATATCAAACATTACTTGAAAGTAGTCGCTTATTAGGACAACAAAAATTACTTAAGCCAGTACCTATTGATTTACGTAAACACAATGGAGGAAGTCGAACTATAGATAATAGTAAGTTCTTTTATCTATCAAAAATAGATAGATATAAAATTTCATCTTATTTATTTTCAGGTCCTATTTCATCAAATATTCGTTATCCATCATCGTCATCATCAACATCACCATCTGGTTCACCTTCATGTTTAAGTCCATCAAAATCAAATAATATTGAATCTATTAATGATTATGTTTGTATACCAAAAAAATTAATGCCTGTTATTGGTGCACGTATAAATGATTGGCTTGAACGTAATGTTAATTTTACTTTATCACTTCACGTTATTCAAGAAACAATTGATAATGATAAAGATAAATTTTTACTTCTTTCACATATATGGCATCGTTTATTAATAATAAGTATGATTGAAAATAGTTTTGAAATATATGTTACTAAAGATTTACAAATAACAAATGATTTAATATCAACAACAACACATCTTCCAACAGAAAATGATGTTAAACAAATTGAATCATTAATAACACGTGGTAAAACATTAGAAATTGATGAAATGGGTTTTAATCTTATACGTGAAGTTATTATATATAAAGAAGGTAAAACATTATTTGAAAATTCAAGTGTTGATTCGTTTGAAAAAGCTGAATGTCAAGCACAAACTCGATTAACAACATGGTGTTCATCACGTGTTAGATATTCAAAAATTGTTTTCTTTTTATGCAATATATATCAAGTTAAAGAAGATATATTTGAACGATTATTTTGTTCTGGTTCAATGCATCAAAGTACACCTATTCATACATATCTTGAACGATTTTTAGCTTCAGCATCATCATCATCAACATCAATGGACGACGCTTAGCGTAGTTGATTGTTTTGTTTTTTTAATTTAAACAACTGTATATTTCTTTTTTCTTTTATTCTTCAGTCCGGAAATCGACCGTCAGACGGTACTTCTTCGTTTTCATTTCCTGACTTTAATTATCCTATTTTCGATGCTTTGAGTATCGTTAAAAAAAACACAAAATAACTACAGTCGTCATGTGTATTTCTTTGAAAAACGAAAAAAAAAAAAGAAACAATAAACTATTTGTATCTATGTGTATGTTGTGTAGAACAGTTTGTGAACTTCTTCTTGTTTTCTTTTTTTCATGTTTCTTTTATGTGTAAATCTGCTGCGAACAAAATACAGAATAAATAAAATCTTTTTTGACGACGATAAAAACAAAACATGTGTTAATCCTTTCGAACTTTGACAGGTTATGTATATTTGTTTTTCTTTTTCTCTTTTGTTTTTATCATATCAAGTAATATATATATATATATATATATATTTATTTATATTTAAAGATAACAGAAACATATATAAATATATGAGTATAGTGTCCTTGTTGTTATTATTATCATAAGTGAAAACGAGAGGTTGTTTTTTTGTCCTTGAAACGAGTAAAGTGGGGAAAAAAGGAGTTTGTTTATTACTCATTTTTTTTTCACATTAGAAGAAAACAGACAGTTAATATGTGAGTAGGTAGAGTAGTTTTACTAGCATATTTCTCAATGATCTATTGAAATCATAATATTCTCTTATGATTCAACTGGAACAGAATCAGATAATGATAATAATTTTAAAATCCGACTAATTTACGAACAAAAATATATGTCATATTTATTTTATTCGACAAGCAAAATCATGCTATGTGAATTTTATGAATGCATAAACCATATGAATCATTCATTTCGAAGAAAATGACTCAGAGTATAATAAAAAAATCAAGGCCTTAAGCATTGTAATATTTTGTAAAAATCTTAAAGAAACTATATTATCGTATGTACTGTTGATTCTAACAGTAATAAATATTTATTTAATTGTTTCAAATAAATTTCTCGTTTATAACAAATTATATAAAAAATATCACATGCAAATGGAAATTAATTTAGTTTTTTAGTGATTAAAGTTTTAATTTTCCAGATGGTTAGATACGTTTGTAACTAATAGAATTCATTAAAATAAGGGAAAAACGTTGTTGTCGTCTTGTTAGAAATTATACATTCATTTCAATCATTGAATAAAATAAGTAGTCTAGATTACTAATCTATTATTTGTTAATATTAAAAGATAATGAAAATAATTAAATTTATATTATTTTAATCTTTTAAAGCTTCAAGTATTTGTTCATGAATAATTCCATTACTAACAATAATTCCACGATTATCAAGCATTTTTTCATTATCTCGAAAATTTAATATTTTTCCATTCATATCAGTTACTTTTCCGCCAGCTTCTTCAACAATAATTGCACCAGCTGCATGATCCCAAATATTTTCTCGATAATTTAGATTATGTGGATTAGGAAAACGAATATAAAGTGCTGCTTGTCCACAAGCTACTAAACCATATTTAACTTGTGAATCCATACGTATTGGTGATGTTTGAATTCCAATACGACGTGCAATTTCATTCTGTTTGGCTTGATCTCCATGACTACTTTCGACACTTTCAGCAAAACGAAAATTATTTATATTATCATTTGTAACGACATAGATACGAGTTGGTATTGTTGTACCAAAGGATTTAATTGATTGTGAATAAGCACCTTTACCACGTACAGCATAAAACATAAGACCACCATCATTACCATATGCTGGACATGCTAAAACACCAACTTTTACATCACCATCAACAATTAAAGCAAGTGCTATAGCATATTGATCACGACGTATAAAACCTTTGGTACCATCTTGAAAAATAAATTTTAAGAAAAAAAAAAGAATTATTTTTTTAAATTAAAGTTCTTACCAATTGGATCTAAAGTCCAAAAACGTTGACCAACATGACCATTACCATATTCAATCCATTCAACAATTTTCTTTTCATCTACATCGTTATTTTCTTCTTTAACATAATTAACGATTTGTTTAAGACTATCGGCTCTTTCAGGTTTGACTAGTTCCTTTGGATTTTCTTCAGCAACAATTGGATCATCAGGAAATTCATTATGAATTCGATGACAGATTAATGCTTGTGAACCAAAATCTGCTAACTATGTTAAACAAATTAAAGTCAAAAAAAAAAGAATTTTTATATATCTTACAGTTACTGGTGAACGATCCACTTTTTCAATAGCTTCTGGTATTGTAGAACGAACACGTTCACATAATCTAGCTGCTTGAAGACATGCTTGAAGAGCTACAGATAGTTCTTTATCATAAGACATTGATCTTCAAATAAAAAAATGCTTGAATTTTTTTTATAAGCACAAATAAATTCTTTTCTAGTTTTATATGTTTTTTTTATCGATAATATCGTCTAAAATAAAACAGTGTCGAAAACTATCCTTATGCACAAGAAAAAAAAACAAAAGTGATAACTTTCAATAAATCATACAATACACACATACAAAATCAATTTTAGCTAAGTTCGAATTTAGAAAAGAAAAACAAAATAGAATTTTATTTGTATGGAACAACATAAAAAGTTAAGTGAATCATAAATTAAAAAGAAAGATAAATGAAGAGCACCAGTGATGATACTCTCTTAAAAATCAATATGGACAGAATTATTGCAATTAAATAAATACAAAAAAAAGAGATAATCAATTTTTAATAATCAACGCACAAAATACTACTGATTTTTATTTTTGTTTTGTTGCATTTTTCTCCACCGGAAATAGATAGAGAATAATTTGGAATGTGTAATATATATATATTTTTTTTTTCATCAGCACCAAAAATAAAATTTAATTTTTGCTTACATATAATAATAATAATAATAATAATATTAACAATGAAATAAGAGGAAGTTTTGCTTAATTATCATCAACCATTTGTTCTTGTTTTTCAATTGATGATGATAATGGTGATAGTTGTGATTCATCATCACTTGTATCATCATTTTCATTTTTGACTTTTTTTCGTAATAAACGAAGACTATCGGAATGACGAAATTTTCTTTTATCATCATTGTGAATATCATCAGTAAGATCCGAAGTCGATGGTGATCCAGTAATTATTGAATTTTGACTAATAATATTTGATTCTGATTGTTCTTGATTATCACTATTTAATACAGAATTGGAAAATAAAACATTTCGAATAAAATGTATTTTTTTTCTACTTATAGACTTTTCTCCTCAAATTATCTACTATTGTACACAATTATTTGGACGTATATAGTACGGATAGTTTGTCATTTCCTAGTAATTAAAAACTATCAATTAAACATTCCGAGTCTATTGAGTACAAAGCCTGTCGAGTCGTATTTGACTGACTGAGAAAAATTTTCTTACCCTTACCATACTCTACCCTGCATTTCTCCAGATTGAAATTCAAATGGACTAATAACCTGTTCGACAAATAGCCTGTTGGACTGGCACTAGTGCATACCCAGTCAAGTTGCAAGTTTTGAGTGTTTATAAAATTTTCTTTTTGAAGTGAGAAAACATCCTTCTGTTTTGTTAAGTAAAAAAACGAGATTAATATAGAGTTAGCCAAAAAAAGAAATTTAATGCCCTATGAAATGTAATTTCTGTACTTATAAGATTTAGTTTTTGAATCAATTCCTTTTTGTAATAGATAGAGTTGAAAAAAAAACGCTACGAAATAGAACCGTTTTTTATTTTGAACATAGTCCAGTAATAATTCATTAACGAAACAGTATGATCTAGAATTTTCAGGCTTTATTTCTAGATATTCATAGATTAAAGTAAACATATAAATCATATTGAATTATTGCTAAATTTCTACTATTATCAAAAGTATCTGTACACAAGCAACCTATCTCTAGTTGAGAATCTCTTGCGAAGTTCCCAGTGAGTCCTACTGATAACTTCCTTGGAAGTCCCTAGTTTTTAGGAAGTCACTCTCAAATCAAAAGGAAGTTCCTGAAATCCTTTCTTATTTCTTTGAGGAATCGCCGGGAATTCCATTAGTGAGAGTTGATTATGGGTGTCGCAAAAACTGGATTACTTTTAGCAGTAAACCGCGGTAATTGTCAAAACCACCGATTTTAATTGATGCTGCTATCCATTATAAATTTCACCAATTAACCGCGGTTCACCGGTAATCTTTCCGGTGAATTATAGGAAGTGAACGGCTGCAGAAAGAAAAAAACATGGACATGTACATGTGCGTGTGTATCGCATCACTTATTTTGTTTGCTTGCTTGTTTAGAGAAAAGAATCAATATAACGATAACGAGGTTCAGTTGAGAATTAATATTTTTTTATATTGAAGTTTTTGATATTTAATTTGTTTTTTAGATTAATTCTTTTATATTTATGTTATAAGATTAGGTTTTTTATGTATGGTTTTTTGCATCGGTTTGTATGTTTATTTTTGGTTGAAATAAAAATTAGATAAATTGAAAAATAACTGTTAAATTTAACTACAAATATTAACGAAACAAAGAATCAAACGGTACTGGTAAAACTGTGGTAAATCGGCAGTTTTTCTTCAGTTTTCATTACATGGAAATGTTTCATATTTTTTTGTATAGAGAATGTATTGTACTAATTTCGTTAATTCATTATTTGAATTCGTTTTCATTATGATCGATTATATATTGTAGATAGAAAGTTTCAATAGCTATAAAAATATGTGATAAATTTTGGTTTCATAATGAGAAACAAAGTAGAAAATAGAACAGTAATTAACATCAAAATTATATAACTCTATCAAAACCAAACGTTTTCAAAATAAACAATTCTGTAGATTTTCCTAAGGTCTATCTATGAAAAAAAATATATTCCAGAGGAACAGAAATAAAGTAGCAACAAGGGGTTAAGTTTCTTTAACTAGATCACCGTCTATTCTTCTTCTTTAACATATTACTCGAGAATTAAAAATCGATATTTTATACATTCATGTTGAAATTAATTAATGAAAGAGAATGACTTACTCGACAAGATCTGTTGTCAATTGTTTAACTTCATAATTATCATTGATCGGAGTAGCTATTGATTGTTCTATATCAGTATCATTATTACCTGAAATATCTAGAGATTGTTTAATTTTATCATTATTTTCGAGTGGAATGACTATGGGTTGTTCAACTCTATTATCGTCATTTTTCGGAATGTCAAATGAGTCTTCATATCCTTCATTATCATCGAATGACTTGTTCTGCGATTGTTCAACTTCATTAATGTCTTTGCTTGATGTATCAATGGATCTAAAAACAAAACTCTTTTTATTATATCAAATGAAAATCGGAAGAGATTCACGAAAAATTAAATTTATCGTGTCTTACTTTTATGGTTTTTAAGCTACTATGATTTTCTTATTTTTCACTCTTGAGTTCTTTTAGTCCCTTTTAATCTCATCAGTTCTATTAATACTTTTGATCTCTTGAGGTTCTTCCAATGGGAGAAAGAGCGAGAGTTCAGTACAATGAAGTATAGTACTTCAGTCATATTTCATTTGTACTTCACTCATGCTGCGAAGTACTGAAATCTGTTTTTTTTACCCTTGGATTCTTCAGTCCCTTTAGTCTTTTTAGTCCCTTTAGTCCTTTTGGGTGCAGGTTGGGTGTGCGTCGATGAGCGTGTTTCCTTCACCCACACAGAAAAAGACTAAAAGAGAATCAGAGTTGCCGATTAGATGATGGAAAGACATTCTCCTCTAAAACGTTCGACTTTCTGTCAATTTTTTATAGCTTCGTGGTAACTTTAGATAGTAATCGAACATTGAAACACCATTTGGCTTTCTCTGACAGAAAATGAAATAAAAATAGACATGCAACATCCTTGCGAGGTGAATAGAATTGGGGAAGCTCCACGAAAAGTACGGTCTGGACCCAGGCTGTCTGTTGTGCGAGAAATCGGGTCACGGTGAATTTTGTTCTTCTTCCTCGTTGGTTACCACTTCTAGAAGTCCGAGAATGAAAAACACTTTCTGCCGAATTTTCAATCCCTTCCATCTTTATAAAATATCGATAACTCTGATACGCATAAAAGTAAAACGGATATATTTGATTTCCTGTGAACGTATAAAAATCGGAGATTATTTACTGATCAAGTTCTTGATTGTTATTCTGACTAGTTAACATTGAATGTTCATTGTCTATTGTTATCGAAGGAGTATTATCTTTTGATTGATTTGTATTTAATATTTGTTCTTTTAATTCAATATCGTCTGGTTTAGTAATGACGGAATTTTTTTGATTTGTTTCATTAAGTTCTTTAGTTAATGCTCTTTGTTGTTGTTCTTCTTCTTCTTCTAAACGTAAGTTTTCTTCATATATAAGTATATTTCGTTGACAGATAGCTGCAATATCATTCATCCATCGTGCTTTTTGTTCGAGTAACTCTCTTGTACCGCCACCACTTCTATTTGATTGAAATGGTGTACTACTTGTAAAACTACTTAAACCAGTTGTCATTCGTCGAAAATTTGCTATTGAAAGAAGACTATTCATATTTGTTGTTTGATTATTATTATTATTATTATTATTTGATAGAAAACCTAAATTTGTTGGTGTTGAAACAATTGGATCAAAATCAAGTTTAAGTAATGATTTATTATTTTTCATTGCTATTGCCATACCACATACACCACTAGCTTGAATATTATTTTCTCTTAAATCAATATATTGTATTATTGATGATTCAGCAATAAATTCTGCTAAAGCAATAGCAGCTTGATCAGTTAAATGACAATTTCGTAATATTAATTCATTTACTGTTCGATTTGTTAATAAAGCATCACGTAATAAAAATAAACCTTCATTTGTTATATTATTTTGACTTAAATTTAATGAACGTATTGTTCGATTATGTAATAATGATTTAGCAAGAAAACCAACACCTTGTTGTGTTAATTGATTTGCTTGAAAACTTATTTTATGTAAACTACTTTCATTCGTATGATTTTCATCATATTGACTTAATTGAGAAGCTAAATGAGATATACCAGTATCTTGTAAAGCATTAGAACGTAAATCAAGTAAAAATAAAAATTGACCGCATGTACGTATTAATTCATTTATCAGTAAAGAATCTTGAATTTGAAGACCTAATAGAATTACAATGAATTAATAAGTTAACTTGGTGGTTTTTTTTCTCAAAACACAAAAAAATAGATATATAATGTTATAAAAAGTTAATCATGATTAACTGTTTATGACACTTTTGTTCACTAGATATTCGCCAAAATTCATAATAATAAACTAGGAGAGAAATATCGTACTTCAAGCCGAAATGTACATAAGAAGTTCAGCATATGTAGAAGTACTTCGAAGTAAGAAGAAATAGCTTAAAGTATGGAGAGATAAGTTCAAGTACAGTAAAATTCTTTAAAATGTTTTTTGCGACTTGAAATACGATGTTCTTTCCAGGATTGTCTATCTTTTTTCCTTTTTATCTTATTTCTTTAAATAACATTATGATTAATATTGCTTTTTCTCTTGTATATATTGAATTTTTTCTAAGGTATGCACCAGTCACAGTCTGACTGATCGATAGAATATTCTGTTAACTAAGGCTAGTGAATACCTGGTTTTTTTTTATGTCATTATTGATTAGCAGAAACAAAACGTCCTATGACCGCAATATCTAGAATGTGTGATTGCAGTTATTTTATGAAACCTTGAAATAATTTAAAGTAGGTTACATGAATTTAAGCCCAGATCGAAAGTCATATAGGCCTTCCGGTCTGGACTAAAATTCCTCTCATTCACTTTCCTAAAAACTCGAAATCGTATAAAAAGTTGGTACACTCCATAGTGCTTCGCGGCATGCATTTTCAATAAAATATAGTGCTTAGCACTATGACATAGTCCATCAAGTATGAGTACATACTTATACTATTGACCGATTCAAAAGAAAAGGCAAGTTATCATTTTTTGAATAACTTTCGATAGGAACATGATAGAGACCTATGGTTTTTGCCGTTAGAAAGAGCGATATTTTGATTATCGGTCTGTATAAATTTCATTAAGGTGAAAGATGTTTTCTACAGGTGCTTTTGGAACGACACTTATTTCTTTGCGTATTTTCATGAATTTTCACAATAATCACAACTCAAATTATATCAAAATATACCTGAAATCACCCTTTTTTTCGCTATAAAATTACCACATATTTCATTATCGCTTAGTGTCTTATTCCAAGCGGATTTACAAAAAAATGTGATAATTTTATAGCGAAAAAAGGATGATTTGAGCTACATTTTGATATATTTTCAGTTGAGATTATTGTGAAAATTGGTGAAAATAAGCAAAGAAATAAGTGTCGATCCAAAAGCACCTGTCAAACGAAACACCTTTCGTCTTAATGAAATTTATACAGATCGATAGCCCAAATATCGCTCTTTCTAACAGTACAAAATCACCGGTCTCTATCTTATTGCTATCAAAAATTATGCAAAAAATGATAACTCGCCTTTTATTTTGAATCAGGCAATAGGTCATCCTTAATATTGTGGATTTCTAGGTAGTTTGTTCAGTAACCTAATCACTAATTGAACAATCGATGACTTCAACTGAAATATTTCAACTAGAAAATTCATATAGTACTTTTCGTCTAATAACATGCAATGCCATCTCTCAAAATACAATTCGCTGACCCAAACCCTACAACTGTAGTGTAATCTAAATTCATACTGCTTAGTACTACACCATCTTACTGAACGAAATCTTAGGCCTGCAATTTGATTGAAATGCGTGATGCCGATAAGTACTTTTTAATGGAAATGCATACTGCTAAGCACTATGGAGTGCACTAAATATTCATAGAAACAAGACTTTTTCTGAGGACTAATGAGAGAAATTTCGGATCGGATCGGATCAAAATTCTGATTCTCCTTCTTAAAGTAGCTCAAAGTAAGTTAAAGTAGTTTAAAGTATGCTGTTTCCTCTTCAATAATAAACGAAATTATAATTAAGCTATAATAGAATGTCCATGTTTTTAAAAAGATCGAGCTCGAAGGCAAACATTAATCTTTGTTTTTTCACTATAAATGCATTTACTAGTTTCATTATGTCAATAACAATTGACGAGGGAGCCTCTTCAGGTGTCAACTCGCTTTTCGACCGAGCCAATGTTTATATGATGAGTAATTGAAAAAGTCTAGAATGGTTTGTTTTTCCGGATGTTCATTCTTGAGATATCGAAATTTTACTGGATTTTTCTTCCTCTTCAGGTCACGTGAATATCGACTTTCGACTTCAAACTTTGCATGAATAAAGTTCTTAATTAGATTAATCGATTGTGCAAGTTTTAGCTTTTCTATTATTTTCTTTCTGGAGAGAAACGAAATTTGCTTTTAGATATAAAAGAATTTCGAATATTCGATATCTCAGGATAGGAGATACTAGAAAAGTTACAACTTGTTATCTCATTGAGACCTTCATTCGTACAAAATTTGAAGTTGAAACTCGATTTTTCACGTGACCTGAGAAGGAAGAAAAATCCTGTAGAATTTCGATATTGCAAGAACGAAAGGCAGGAAAAGTAAATCATTCTAGACTTTTCTATTACTTATGAAATGAATATTGTCTTGATTGTAAATTGATTTGACATGTGAAGAGGTTTCCTTGTAAATGAAATAGATTGATGCTATTCGTTTATTCTACTGAATATTTTTCATACATATATAAAGATATTTATTTACTAATAAATTAAAATTGTAATACATACGATTATCACAAAGATAAAGTTCTCGTAAACAAGTACATGAACGTAAATTTTGTATAAATTTTTGTAAAATTTTACCAGTTAATTGACATGATTCAACATGTAATTCATATAATGTTGATGATAAACGTAATGAACGTGTAAAACCTAATATATTATTATCATCAAAACGTGTTAAATTCATATCAAGTCTTTCAAGAGAATTTGTTTTTCTTAAATATTTTGTTAATGCTTGATATCCTTGTAAACCAATTGAACGAATATTTGATAAATTAATATGTGTACATGATTCATAATATTCAATAACTTCAAATAATTGTGCTAATGCTAAATCATCAATAATTGATAATTCAAAATTTAATGTATGAAAACGACAATGTGATAAAATTTCTTCAATAGCATCAATTTGTTTAAGATCAATTTTTTCATTAACTATTTTTAAACAATCAAGACGATCATAATATGATTTTCTTCCATCATCCATTGTATTTAATTGATCTAATAAACAATTTAATGGACGTAATTGTAAACGTTGACATGCTCCACGATAACGTTGTAAAATAACACCAAGTGATAAAAGTGGTTGATTTGAGAATGGTTCAGGTGAATATGATACTAAACGCAATTGAGTATCATCTGTTGGAAAATGAACACGACGTGAATGACTAGCAGTTGTTATAGGTTTTTCATCAATATCATTTGGAGTTGATTGTTCAGTTTTACTACCATTAATAGATGACATTTCAATTTCATCATGATGAATAGATGGTAACTCAGTCTCATCAGACTTTATGACATGTAAACTCGAAAGTGATGAATTATTGCTTTCATTTTGCGTAGACATAGTTAGATTATTTCTATATTTATCATCTGAAATAAAATGATATTTATTTCAATTTTCAAGACAAAAAAAAACTGTAAACAAAATATTATTCTGTCCAACGATGAAGACAATGTTGATTACGACATACATAATAAAGTGTCATACGATCCTTAAATAAAAAATATTAAAAAAAAAATAAATAAATTTTTATAATATGAAAAAACAAAGAAAACAAACTTCGCTTCGAGCTGATTGAGCTTGAAAAAAGACAGCATCACTACCACGACATTTTGGACCTTTGGAAAAAAAAATTTATTTATTCATTTTAAATAATTGACTTACAAGGATGATCAGCAGTACGTGGTAATGTTGGATCAGAAATAACATCCGTAACAATTTGTGTTAATTCACTAAAAAGTTTAACAAATATGGAAAAAAATAATTTAATCAATTGTATGATATTTTTCTTTTCTGAGGAATATTTATATATGAGAAATGTTCATTACTTATTTCGAAGCAATAGAAGTAAATTTATTTCTATTCAGAACTGGTTCGAGGCAACCGACATTAGAAGGAAATGTCGTCACTTGTTGGGGAGGTGTGAAGATTATTTTTTTTGTCTTTCTAAAAGAACGTACAAAAAGTTTGCGGCTCCACAAGGTAAAAAACAAAAAGTTTTCTTGATTGTAGTGTGTCACACCTCTAAATAGTACAATATGAAAGTAATTATCACTCATTTTTCTAATGGAATAATAACAAAAGAATAAATATACTATAAATTAAATACAAACAGACAAATAACTGATGATTATTTCCATCGTATTAATCGGTCAAATATTATTAACTTGTAGAACTCTTCAGATATATTAAATATCCACAATGGAATGAATACTTGTACTATATAGCACTGTCTAAATAAAGATTTGCGTACAAGTATCCGACTCTTATTCATTTTGTTCATCATACTATTGAAGTAATCAGATAAATTGCATAATAAAGAATTAATATTGTATCCAACATAATAAACATCAAGAATTGTTTTCAACCTTCTGTTATATAATCTCGAAAGAAGTAGAACGATATTTGTTCTCATGTCTAGATCGTATGTGTATACTCTATACAGGTATGCAAGTATCTGCTAACTTCTGACCTGTACTCATATTACAGCTGCATTCAATCAAGAGGTTAATCGTTCTTGATTGGTTCGTTTCTTTTTTTTCATAAGCACAGATGTGAAAATATGGAGAATATTGTGTGTACATATGTGCTTATAAAAAGAAAGAGAACCAATCAAAACTGATCGGCTGGTTTCTGTAGAGTCCGTCGAGTTGAACTCGAACACTACTCAGATTCGCTCGGGTTCCAAATCAACCTAATGGGTCATATATTAAAAGTAATAGCCGATTATAACTTGATTATTATAAAATCATCGTCAAGATTTTCTGAAAAATGTGTAGGGTATCTTAGTAGCAGAATATATATAAACGATAAAAAATATCTCGCATCTTCAAAGCCGAAATAATAATAGAATTCCCGATCTTTTGGGAAAGAAAGGACTTTATATTTGCTATTTATCATTTCAGGTTACATTCTTTGCATTATCTGGAAAATATAAAGAAACAAATTAAGACCTTAATGTTCTTATTAGTAAAAATGTCACAATAGGTAAAAAAAGCCCAATCATTATTATATGGCTAATTTTCAACTCCAACATATATTTTATAACCAGTTAAAAGTATAAACTTTTCAATATAACAAATCCAAATGAATTTCAATAACTTATATAAACTATATTTCTTTAGAGAATGCAGAGAATGATTACTTCAAAGATTAAACTATTTGTGCATGACAAGAAAAGATATTAATGAAGATGATCTCAAACTAACATAATCGCAAACTGAACTAAGATTTAACTTGATCAAATTTTATAAGAATCTGATTTGAACATTACTCGTATAAGAGATTATAGCAATCTATTGAATATCTATCATACTAAAACCAAAGAATTTGTACTATTGTCTAACGTTTTCTCAATCAATGACATAGCAAAGTAATTCTATTCTGTTGTATATAACTGTAAAGAACAGTACTCTATAGATCTAATCAGAATATTTCAATCTTACTTCTTGATCCCTACTGATTTTTATCATGTATTATCTTTATTTTTTTTTCAGCGCTATGCTGATTCTTAAATAGGATCTAAGGATGTTTTTTCAAGACTTAAAATGTCACAACAACTGTCTGCAATTTATTTAGTCAGTCATTGACCTTTTTCTTTTTGTTCAAGGAAATTACTTTTTACTTTCATATTTAATGACTTATTATACTAATGAATGCTTAAATCGATTTATTCAAAACATACTCTATTTCATGAGTGATCTTATTAACATATATACAAGGATTATCAGCTGCCTGTTGGTGTTGACATCGTCGACACTAAAAACCAAGGTTAAGATTAATGTTAGCAAATAATCTTCATATTTACTGCATAGAGTAAAATTCGATTTTCTTTATCTTCTTTCGGATACAACATATTATTACTAAAATACAAAAAGAAAAAAAACAAACAAATAAATCGAAATTTAGAAATAAACTTTCACAGACCATTCTTGACAAAATTTAATACCAACAAAACCAGAATTAGCAGAACCACTAGTACTTGTATCCATAATTTTTATATCTGAAATAACAATAATAATGATTCATTTTTATTAAAAATAATCGATTGAATTCAAATACGATTCATTAGCAATCTTAAACAGTTCTTTTTTTTTATAAATGAGAAAAAAGTATTTATTGTGCATTAATGAGAAATATAATATAAGACAACAGCCAAAAAAGTATGCATGAGTCATTTTGGATAAGACCGACAGACACTCGACGAGCAAATCAAAATTAAACGAACTTCATTGACACATTAAGATGTCACCACTGATCTATGATGTTAAATTTTTAGATAATAGACAAAACAATTCGTTTTACTATAATTCAAGACGATTCTTCTGACTTTGAGAAGCAACGTCTTGAGCGTCAGATTCTATGCAACGTCTTACTTATGTTTTCTATTATTTTTGTCTTAATTAGGAGTGATTAAAACGCACATACTATATACAAAGTATATATATATGAATAAAGAAGAAGATTCATAAAGACGATAATTATTATCCATATTGATCTACAATCAAAAATTCTTTGAAACACAGTACTTGTGTCATGTAAACACATAAAGGATACTATAGAGAATTATCGTAGGCATTTTTCAACATTTACGAACTGTTATTTCGATAGAGAGTGATCAAAATAGCAGTTGGAACTTGAATAAATTTCATATTCAGTCTTTGAAATGTAAAAAAAGCAGATCCTTTCATCTATAGTATTTACCTATAAAATGAAGCAACGAATGTAGAATATATAAAACTGTGTACTTTTTCTCGATAACTTAGTAATCGAGAATTGTGCTGATCATCGTGTAGCATAACACAAAGACACTTTTGAAATATGCACGTGATGCCATCAAATAAATCTCAATGAAATTCATCGGTTGATTTGTGGAATAACTCAAAATAGTTAATTGTATTTCAATATTGGTTAATGAGGAAACCTTTTCAGATGTTCTCCCTTCGATTTCAATCATTTTTTGCCTATAAATACTACATATAGTGTTCTTATAAAAATCCTTTGAGTTTGGCTAAACTATCGGATTTTCTTCTATAAGTCTCATGTTTTTGGAAAACTCGTATTTTGATCTGAAATCTTGTGCATATAGAGAACTAAATTAGATTAGCTTTCATAAAAAAATTCACGAGTTTTGAACAAAGTCTTTTCGAGCTATAAAACATTCAAGATATAGACTATGATCCAGGAATAGTGTATATAACATACATTTTTTCAAAGCTTCATATTTCGAAGAGACTTTGTTCAAAACTTGTGAATTTTTTTATGGAAGTTATTCTAGTTTAGTTTTCTATATGCGCAAAGTTTCAGTTCAAAATTCGAAAATACGAGTTTTCCGAAAGTTCGGAGCCTCTGGAAAAAAACTCGAGTGTTTAATCAAACCCAAATCATTTTAAGGTTTTCTATTAGAACACTAAATGCTTCAGAGAAGCATTTAAGTTTGTCCCACATAGCAATGATAAACATGATCATCAAGCTTTATTCATTAAAAAATAGTTCATGATGGTTTTAAGACACTTCTTTAATTCAGTTTTCCTAAATGATTATTCTAATGGCGTTCATTTTTTTTGCCATTGTTGAGTCGTTTACCAGTTGTTCTAAATGAGAAGTAATTCAATAGTGGCAAATTATTACATCAGATCATTTTTCATAATAGAGAAAAAAAAGAACTGAAAATATTGTGAACTTTTCCGTCTGAAAGAAAACTGACATTTCTTTCAAAAATAATGTTGTTTTTTATTACAAGAAGAAATCGACAAGATGTTATCATATTCATCAAGATCGTTTTATTGATCGAAACATGACACTCACTTATTTTTATCTGCAAGACTCATTGTTTATTTAAATCTTAAGACAATGACAAGGTTATTACAGTGCATTATTGCAACATATACTTTGATCTCTTTATTGTTATTCTTTTTCTTTTTATAGTTTCTTCGTTCGTCTGGTATCTTCTGTGTTATCATTTCAATTTATTTACTTCTTTTCTTTGAATTTGGTTAACCCTTGTTTTTTCTACCTTTTGTCTTTGTTGCTTATATATGTGTACACATATTTTTTATAAACAAAGAAGAACGAATGAAATATGCAGATTTCAAGCATAACATGAACACAATCTTTCGCTGTTCATTGTGAATGAGAACGCTTACACAGATGATCTATGTATAAAATATCTTTGAAAGATTGAATAACGGTGATTCAAATGAAAGAATAGAGATCACAAGAATCTATGGCGATGTGTCAAGCATATGTCCATCTATCATTCTCTTTGTTTTCTTCCTAAAGAAAGTATTGAATTAGTAAATGCTGGTAAATTATATTTTACAAGAAATGTTCAGATTTGATGA